CCACGCTCCTCAAAAACTCCAACCGATTGCTTGGAGTCCTTGCTGCCAGATGTTTAAATTGGGAAGTTATGTAGGTAGCAGTAGATCGTGCATGATATAGTCGGTCGCCAATTCGCATTTGTCCAGTTGATATTATTCATTTTCCTCTTCATAAAATGTCGTAGTCTGGGTCGGAAAACCCATTGACCCATCCTACAAATATTTTATCAACAGAATCAACTGTCCAAATGTGTCTTATACTGCAACCAACTATATCACCACTTAAGATTTTGTAGATATTATCTACAAAATCTTCTGGCAAGTCTGGGAATTCTGCCTTTATAGCAGAAGTAGTTTCATCTACTTGTTTCATCTGTCTTTGGAGTTGTCGCCTTCTCTTGTTTTGTTGTTGGCTTTGTTTTTTTTTTGTTCCTCTTCTTTATTTCTGCCTCCAAAATTTCTTTTTCTGTTTTTCGTCCCATCCTCATTCTGGTGCTATACCGCATGGCAACATCCAGGTATTGCTGAAAAGTAGTATCCTCCAAGCCATTCACATAGTTCCACACATCATTTCGCTTGGCCTTGATAATGTGGCCTATGCTGGAGACATAAGCATTTGGCGATACCTTTTTCCTTTCGCAATACTCACCTATTACGCTTTCCACCTCCATCGTGTGTTGCCGCACAGATGATAGCACGGATTCTGTTGTAGTTTCTACTGTCAAAAATGACTGCCTGTACTGCCGTTCCAAAACTGAAACAGTTCCTTTCAGACAGGCAGTCATCATGTCTTGAAACAATTGTCTGTTTGTGGGGGCAACCATTATTTCCTTTGCAGCTGCTGGCAAAACGTCCCCAAAAAAGTCTTTTTCTGCCAGCAGTATTGCCTTCGAGTCCTCCATTTTTTTTTTTAACTCCTCAATCACGTTTTTAACCATTGCCATCGTGTCAATGGGGTTCTTGCATTCTTTTAAATTTGTATAGAATTTGTTCATCCAGGGCCCAGACAACATCTTCCCTAGAATGCCAAGGATTTGAAGCTCTGTCTCTGCTGCTTCCTCCACTATGAGACCTTTTAGTTTGATGACTAATTTATTCTTAGGCACCAGATTGAGCACAAATTTTTTTAGATTATCGAAAATGGAGAAATAGACACCACCTAATTGAAAAATTACGTGCAGCCGATTTCCAAGGAATCTTTGTCACCTTCTGGTCATTGCTCTTCATAAATTCCTCCATCTGCATCACATGGTTATACTTGTCACTGAATCGTAATGAATTCAGTGCCATAAGTTTCCATGCGATGCACTCCCCAGAACGCTGTAACACCTTCTCCTCACAGGCTTGAAACTCCTTCCTGATTCTGTTGGAAATGCCTTCTAGCGGATGCACGTTACAATTTAGTTCAATTAGGTGGGTGCCCCACTCCTTCTCCAATAAAAAAACAGTCAAATGGTTGACTGGTGCTCGGTCTGTTAGACAGCATTTAATTTTATTAATTATTGCTGTATGGCAGCTAGCAATACTTACTGATGACATCTGGGAATATATCTCAGCAAGCTTGACAATTTCGGTAGAGATGTGATTCTTATAGTCCTCAGCTGTTCCACCGGGTAGACGCTCAATTGACACAAGATGATGGGGTTGTGACCATCATGCAGTTTACATGTATCCCATCTTGTGTCGTAGAATCGAAAATGAGGCTACAATTTTCACACGAAAGAATTGAATTAAGTTTTGACATCAGAAAAAAAACCAAGTTCACCCACCATTCGGCCAACTGTGGTTATAGACTTGATGACAAAACTTGGTTCCAGTATTATGGAGTTGAAACGTTTTAAAAGTTCCGGAACATTTCTGCCAGCCACACCACTTAGCAAGCATGCATAGTGCATCTTCCTTGAGTATAATTTTGGCGCCCTTTTTGTTTTCTTTTTTGCCAATGATGTCAATTTTTTAATTTTTTTTTTTTTTTTCAGTTGTATTATTAATTTTTTTTGCCTGCAGACCCTCGTTTTTAATTTTTTATTTTCTTCAATTAGACTTGAAAAAATTGGGCTTGCAGGTGTCACAGTTGGGCTTGCAGGCGTCACACAATGGGCCACTTCTTCACACTTTTGTATAAATTTAATAAAATTTCTTCCCTTGTGTCTAGTTCTATAAATACGTCTCAGGTTCATTGCTCGCCCAACTGTTACATTTGGATATCCATTTTTTGCATTTTCTGCTGATGCCCAATTGGCTGCCTCGTAAACTGTGGCTTGTTTGTAAATTTTATGGAAAACATGCCCACATAGAACAGGCTGTCCAGAGGGAATGCTGCCATATTTTAATAAGACTTCCTCAGTTCTGTTCATCCTGAAATGTCAATGAAAAAAATAAAATTAATTACAAACTGAAATATATTTCATGGAGAAATTAATTACTACTTGAGTTAATTGAATGTAGAAAGGATGTTGTTATTGTGTTTTATTTCTAAGCTATGTATTCTTAATTGAATCAAACTAATGAAGGATTAAAGTATGACTCACAAATCATTTTAAATATTCTACCTCAAAAAAAGAATAAATAAGAAAAAACAAAACAAACAAAAATACATAAAGATATAGCTAAAGAATGCATATATAAATACACGATTTAAAATTATATTAATATTTTTAAAAAAAATGGAGGAGACAAAAAACACTTTAACAAAGTCTGCTGAGAAATATAAATGAATTGAAAACTCTCTAGAAGAAAAAAATTAACAATATTTTGAAAGAAGCATGAAAAAAAAAAGGAAAAAACAAGCCAAATGTTACTTACTTTAAAAAATGGAGGACACAAAAAACACTTCAACAAAGCCTGCTGAGATAGTTTCTGGGTTTTTCCTTAAATAAAGAAAAAGAAATCAAAATATTTTGAAAAAAAGCATGAAAAAAAAAAAAGGAAAAAAGAGCCAAATGTTACTTACTTTAAAAATTGGAGGACACAAAAAAACACTTCAACAAAGCCTGCTGAGATAGTTTCTGGGTTTTTTCTTGGATAAAGAAAAAGAAATAAAAATGAATTTAAAAGTGTAACGAAAGACAAATTCACAAAAGAAAATTACAGATGAATATAAAATAAATACATCAAATAGTACTTGCTTTTTGAAAAATTAATGATGAAAAAAGCCTTTTTATGCGCTATAAATGAGAAAAAATATTGTAATTGAATTAAGACTCACTAAAAAACAAATACACAAAAATTGAAAAATTGCAATGAAATAGGTGTGAAAATGAAGAAATGGTACTTACTTTTCAAAAGGGAAGGCTTCTTCTTGGTCGTATATTGGATGTAGTTAAATTTTTTTTTAAGTAAAACTTCTCCACACGTGTTTCGACAATCGTGAATAAAAAAATTGGAAAGGCTGTTAACAGTGGTGGATAGCGTTTATATACAGAATTAGGTCACATGTTTTCATTGTATCATGTTACTCCCGGGCCTCCGTACATTTGATTTTTAACGTTTTTTTTGTGGTACTGACGTCAAAAGACAGTTACATATTCTCATTGCTGTGTCGTTGCTTGTAAAAACCTTGTGTTATTTATAATCTGTATAGATACAGCTACCCAAAAGAAACATATCAACGATTGAACAGTACCGCTAATTTTTAATATAATGACTTCCCTGCTTCGTCCATAAACTTTTACAGTTTTCTTTAATTCATTTATGGGGGTGGTAATATATGTATAAAAAATATATTTTTATAATGACTTTAAAAAAAATAACATATATTATAATTTCCATCATTTCTGAATAGTTTCTGAAAGTTTCATTAAAATCTGACAATTATTTCTATTTTTTTCAAGATTTTCAAAATTAATGTGTGTCATAAGAAAAAATGCACAAAAATTTGCCATGTTATTTACTAGAGTTCCGGTGATGACGAGAAACAAGGTTTTTCAATCGAAAGTTAGAATGTTGTAATAAAGACAGAAAATTTTGAAAAAAAATAATTAAAATTACTTTTGTTCTTTACTCTTACTCGTAACATAGACATTTTGGCGATAAAATTTTGTTTTCGTCAAGTTTGACGTCTTTTTCATCAGACTATACGCTTTTTTTAGTGATCTCGTGCATATACCTACTTTAAATAAAGTTCAATTTTCTGCACTTTGCACTGCATTCAAACATTTTCACATTTGAAAGGAAGCCAATAATTTTAAAAATGTAAAGATTTTTTTTTTTTTTTTCATTTATTTACTTTTTTTTTTTATCACTTAAGGATCACTTTATGTGAATAAAAATAAAATTACGAACATACATTCCCACATAAACAAATGCATATAGCAGAGGCTGGACAAAATAGTGGAAACACCTGAAAATTATATATATATATATATATATATATTTCTTCCCCCTGACATAATTGGGAATGGATTAATTGGGGCGGTGGTAATAAATTATAGCCTATTCACTGGAGATGGGAAGAGTGCTGTTTTCAGAAAGCTCTTTTCAGTGATTTGGGTCAAAAAAGATCACTATGCCATTGATGGACTTTGTAAGGTAGGGATATGCTAAAACAAACCTGTGGCTAACACCTGTTTCTTAACTAGTTTATCTGTTACATATAAATATTTGAATATATATTAATAATTTACAAGTCTGGTTGACTATTCCCTTTCAAAATTTCATTGTGGTGCTTCTCTGAAGATGATTATGCTTGTGCAACACTATTGTTCTGATAATTGCCTTTTACTCTTCCCTCTACCCTAAAACCTAGAGAAATAGAAATTTGTCTTCCCAAAAAAAACACTTGTGGATATTTGGCTCAGTGTATCACTTTCAGATTAAGGAAAGGTCAGATGAAAATGACCTGTTTGGGGTAGAAAGAGTTGATTGTTTTTTTTTTAAGGCCTGTTCCATATCACTTCTTGAAGAGTCTGGTTGATGAGCTGAATTGCTTCACCTGTACATTGTCTCCGCTCACTGATGGTGTGCATTGCACTGTCATGTGATGAGGCTTGCTACATGACTTTGGTTTCCTACTTTCAAAGGTCCTCATCCAAGAGGAAGGCATTTACCAAACACAAGAAGAAGTGTCAGGATGAAGCTGGCAAGAAGGCCATTGAGAATGACTATAAGAAGATGGTGCGCTACTGTAGCAGCATCAGAATTATTGTGCACACTCAGGTAAGCTGCTAAAATTAATGGTTAAATTTAAAATTGTCTTCAGTTTCTGGTTTTTGTATAGTTATAGCTCACCTTTTGAGCTTTAGACTGATATTAAGGACCTAATCTATAAGGACTGAAAAGCTTATCTTATTAAGCATTATAGGGGTTGGTGGACTATGAAGTCTGTAATTTTGAATATATAATGTAGAATCTGCTTTCTAATTTTCTAATTTAATGAATGATAATATGTGACCTGTGTTGTCTACTTTCCCAACTCTTTCAATCCCATAAGTTTGTCTAATTCTGCATTTAGTAATTTTTTATCACTTTGTTAATTTGGCAAAATTAATGTAGAAAAATAATTGAATGAGGGATTTATATAATCACTAATATTTAATGCATACATTTTATAATAAATTCCTTTTTAATGTCGACCTTTACAGATTCGTCTTCTGAAGAAGCGCCAGAAGAAAGCTCATATTGCAGAAATCCAACTGAATGGAGGAACCATTGCAGATAAAGTGAAGTGGGCTAGAGAAAATCTTGAAAAGCCAATTTCTCTGAGCGATGTTTTCCAACAGGATGAACTCATTGATGTTATTGGTGTGACTCAAGGCAAAGGAATGAAGGGTGAGTTGATACCCCTCTTGATATTTATAAATTTATGAAGAATCTATTAAGGTTAATGACCAAAATCCCTTGAGGTCAAAAAGGAGAGGATTAGCCACTCCTTAAAAAAACTTAGCATCCAGTTATGGCATCCATTTAATCTAGCCATGGAAGTAATGTACTTGGTGTCTCTTAGCCTTTTAAAATAGATTTTTTTTTTTTTAATATAGAAATAATTCATAAATTATTTTTCACTTTGAGAAATGCTGATTTAGATTTGATTTTTAAATCTTTATAGCTATAAAGAAAACTGAGTTCCAAGTGATTGTTTATAGGCACTTCATGCATTTTTGGAATTTAAAAAATATATTTAATATAGCAATGTTACTCACAGTGCAACAGGGATACTCTCATGGTGGTTAATCAGTGGATGTGTGTGTATGATGAAACAGATGGAACTTTTTGTCTGACAATTTGTGCTGTAAATCTCCATCTTGCTGCCTTCCTTCTGATTCACTGCCACTGTTTAATCACTTTCCTTATATTAAATGTTGGATTTTCGTCTGATGGGACTAACTGGGGAGAAAGACTTTATTTACCAGCCAATACTATTGGAAATGTATCATTAGCAGCAGTTTTATGCCAACAAAGATTGTGTAAACTAAAGTACACAAAGATTACAACTACTGTAGTTGGTACAGATTATCCGCGAAATCACGTACAGATTAAAAACTAGTCATTTCAACATTTTTGTAGTAATTAGTGTAACAAGAAAATTGGCTTAGTATTCCAAAGAAATTGACTTCACTCAGGCATCTATATTTGGATATTTGCAGTCTTATGAGAGGAGGTACTTTGTGTGTATGTTTGTGTTTTTTTTTTTTTTTTTTTTTGTTTAACAAACTTTGATCAACAGTTACATCTAATATTTCTTAAACTTTTTAGGTGTGACATCTCGTTGGCATACCAAGAAATTACCCAGGAAAACACATAAAGGTTTGCGAAAAGTTGCCTGTATTGGTGCTTGGCATCCAAGCAGAGTTCAGTACTCTGTGGCCAGAGCTGGTCAGAAGGGATACCATCACCGTACTGAAATCAACAAGAAAATCTACCGTATTGGACGTGGTCTCCACACTCAGGATGGCAAGGTCATTAAGAATAATGCCTCTACTGACCATGATCCTGCAGAAAAATCCATTACTCCTGTTGGTGGTTTCCCTCACTATGGTGAACTGAATCAAGATTTCCTCATGTTGAAGGGATGTGTGATGGGAACCAGAAAGAGAATTATCACTCTTCGTAAGGTGAGTATTAATCAACATAAGATTTCTGGCAACAACAACAGCTCAATTTCAGTTTGGGTTGGTGATTTACAAGTGCATTAATGCCTTTTTATATAGTTTTGCTCATAATTGCCTTTGATTTCTCTTTTATATATTTGCAGTATTTCTCACTTGTTTTATTTACTTTTAGAGTCGCTAATCCTCTGGGGATCCACTTCCCAAAGGATATTAGCGGTACAGTTTTCATTTGAAGGGATTTTTATTTCTTCGTGTTCTGTTAATTCGTCACAATTAATATAAAGTTAAATATTAATTCCAAAAAAAAAAAAATTTTTTTACTTCGCTTCACAACTTCAGATAGAAAAAATACCAAAAATCAGTTAACATTCTGTAAGTTGTGGATGAGATGACGTACTTCAGAATTTATTATAATTATAACAACTCAAGGTGAGTTAATGAGGACACCACTATTTAGAAATAGCACACTGTCGCTCACATAGTGTAATAGAAGGCTCTTGCTTTGAGAATTTCAATTTTTAATAAATAAAAATTGTGGTGAATTAACAGTAAAGATCCAAATCTTAATTAAATCCCTTGAAGGCAAAAAGGAAACAATTATACATTGTTCAGATTGAGGAATTAGCATCCAGACTTGACTTGGATATGGAAACCGTGTTCTCGTGTCTCTAGCTTCTTAAAAATAGACTTAGTTTAAAAATGAAAAGTTGTTAACTTAGGCAGCAGCTGTACCTTTCTGGATATTTTATGTGCTCAAGCTCTGATGTTGTCAACAAGTCTCCTTTGTTTGGGGTGGTGGTGGTCCTTATGGCAATGAGGTTTTTCAGCTGTTGTAAAATTAACAATTTAAAAATTAATCAAACTGAAAAAAATGCAAATTGAAGTGCCAAATTTTCTCAAATAACTTGATTCTGTTGGGAAATTGCAGATGGGGTTTGGTTTTGTTTCTATTAAGGGGATCCATCAACTGTTGGACATAAATTTCAAGCCCACATTTGTCATTTTATCTGGATGACTGTTTAATTAATTTTTCTGCAATATCAAATTAATGTGTATTTTTTAACCTGACTTTTTTTTTTTTTAGTCACTCCTAACTCACTTTAGACGTAAGGCCATGGAGAAGATTACTCTGAAGTTTATCGATACTGCCAGCAAATATGGAAATGGTCGCTTCCAGACTCTGCAAGAAAAGAAGAACTTCATGGTAATAACGGCATTCTTAATTTTGTATTAATTTTCAAACCAAGTTTGTGTGTCTTTTTTTTTTTTTTTTTTTTTTTCTTTCTTTCTTTCTTTCTTTTTTTCCTTCTCTTTAAGCTTTGGTCTAACTTTCCAATTGACTATAAATAGGATTACATTTTCTTCTTTTTTTTTTTCTTTACAGGGTCCTCTCAAGAAGGACAAGCTCAGGGAGGAAACTGCCTAAGTTGTAACATGAATTTGTAGAGATGGATAAATCTTAATAAACAAATATCAAATTGAATGCAAAGTTGTAATCTTTTTACTTGAAATTTGGAAGATATTCAAAATTATATTTTTGTAATGATTGTGTAAATTCTCTTGGTCAAAGTTTTTTCCCATTCTATGTAAATGGTTATTTATGGCCATTAGTTTAACTTTATACTTCATAAATATTCAGATGTTTAGTAATTAAGGAAAGATGTTGGTAAATGTGGGCTCGGCCATAGTCTTGACATCAGTAACTGAAATGTGTTCATTGTTCATCTTGACTGATCCTTATGCATACGAGGTAATTTACTTAAAGCTGTTCAAGAAAAAATGACCTTCATTTCTATAAAAATGGTTACTGCATTAAAATATTTACATGGTCTTGAATAACGAGAAAACAAATTTGTATACTTTGTATCTAACATGCCTTGTAAATGATGAACTTCTTAAAATGAAGTTTTTTTGCATTTTGGCTATTTTCACTTGCAGGATTTGCTGCATTATAAGCAGAAAGTTGTAATTTTTATACTATGAAGTGTGTGTGTGTGTTAACTGAAAAAAAAAAACACCATAAAGCTGCATGAAAAGCTTTTTACAAAGCTGAAATTGTTTGTTTTAAGTACTGTTACTACTAAGTGACCATATCGAAAGAAGCATTATTGAAAGTTTGAACAAAAATGTTAAAAACATTTGATTAGTTTTAGGAAATGTGAAATCTATTTGTTTTAGTTTTCAAAAAAAAAACAAAACTTTTTTTGTGGTAAAATATTTAAGTTAACATCAAAATAGCGAGTATAAAAAAAGCTGCCAGTTTCGTGTTAATGATTTTATGAAGACTGTTTTCTTGTAAGCCAGAATTTTTTTGTGATTGGTGTACAATCACAAAATTCTTGTAAACAAGAAAAAATAATTTATATATTTAAGAATTTTAATTTCACTTTTAAAATTTGTATATTTCCAGAAATGCCAGTCTATAATGTAAAATTAAAAATAAGATTGTTTTCTACAAATAAAGTGATGTTTTAATCTCGCGTTTGAATAAAATGTGTACATTTTTCAAAACTGCAAGTCTTTCTCCTTAAACCCAAAGTAACAATTATTTTTTTTTATTTTTTAGTCAGTTTGGGTGTTCTGCCTATAAAATTCTAAGCGAGGAAAATTAATCTTATTTTGATATGGTTTTATTTAGTCAATACACTTAAGATTAGATTAAAATGATTAAAAATAAGTTTTTAATTTCAGATTTAAAATGTGTACCTAAAAAAAGAACAGATGTATGCAGATTTGGAAATCCACACATTCTAAAAATGAAGTGCTTTTAATTATTTTTAATATTTTATTTTAGGTGTATTTGCTAGATAAACTTAAATTTGTTTGTGAAAAAATAACTCATCCTTGTTTAGAGGAAATTTATTTACAAAACCCTAATAAGTGGACTGGCATACCAGAAGAGATTTTTAAGATTGAACCAGAAATACATGATAAATTGAGAGTTGAATGGCAAATTCAGATATCAACAAGAAAATGAATGAATACTAAATTGAAAAACCAAATCGAAAACACCAGTGTCAAGAAAAAAAATCTGGAAACTGATACCAAAACATAAATTGCCTACCATATACAATATAGTCTAGGCTATTATTTCTCAACCAGCATTCCCCTGTCAGATTAAACTTCAAATATACTGAATTCACCTTTCATAGCAAGATATCTTAATAATTTTAATATTGTTTTCATTTCTATCATAAATTCTATGTACCATGTTCTAGTTGAATATGGCTCTCCACCTCCCTCTATCCTTTGCAGCTCTCAAGCTCCTGCCCTCTGATTACTAACCCCCCAACAACCATGTTCTGTCTTTCATTTGCTTAAAGCTGCTAGGTATGTCATGCTTATTTTCTCTTGTCTCTCTTTTTCGTGAGTATGATTCTCCAGGCCCTCCCTCACTGTGTCCCAGGAACTTCAGCAGCCTCTTCCTGATGTTAAATATAACCCTCCTCCTTGTTTGCATTCTCTCTATGACCTCATTGTTGTTCACATACTGAGTCCATGATATCCTTAGCATCCTTCTGTAGAATCACATCTCTGTTGCCCTGAGTCTCTTCATCTTTGAGGAAACACTCAACATTTGCTGCCGTGAAGGAATGATGTAACACAACAGCTCAGTATTCTTTTTTGTTACCAAAGCAATCCTGTCTCCTATTACTCAGCCCAGCTTTTGGGATGCTTCCTTGACCATCCCAATGTCTACAGATCTAATGAATAAATCAACAATGATGCTCCAGTATCTAAGTTTTTGTATCTCTTTATTAGCCACATTGGCTCATCTCCCTGAACAAATAACTCTTGCACCCTTGCTTCCCTTCTTGGTTTACACCCAGACCATTTCATATTTCCCTTGGATCTATCCATTATGTTTCTTCTAGCATTATACTTCTGTTAATCTTTTCCTTCCACATGGGATGATGCTACTTAAAGTACCTTTTCTCATTATGCTTCCAGAAAACCTTGGAGTCATTTCCACTTAAAATATTTCTGTTATGAGAGCGCGAAGGATTTAATTCTTCCATTTTTTTACATCTGATTATGGGCATTGTTATATCTGTGATATAACACTGTTTCTCATGGACAGCACGGAATAGAATTGCTGAAAGGGAAAACTGACAAACCTGTTAAACTGGCATACACCAAACTATCACAGCTGTTAAAAAAAATGCTTGTTTGTCACAGGAAAATCCAACTTTGTGCTTGAACGAAATATGCAGTAAAAATTCCCATTCGTCAGTAACCTTATAGAATGCCAAGTTCTCAAAGCAAACCTGTGCTAAACTGTTTTCCTGAATCCTCCATGAATTGGCTTTCCAAAGATAATACAATGGGAACTGACTGGAAAACATGCAACAAGTTACCTTCTAGCCGTTTTCAGGCCATGTTATTGGATACGGATGCCTATTGTTTGTACATGGAATTATTCACTGGTAATTTAGTCTTCAATTTGGCTATGAAAAATGTCACTTGCTAGCAATTATGTAAATCATCAATATATATCGGCTACAAATCATAAAATAACTTCCAGAAAACTAATTAGATAAGCTTTTATAATATATATTAAAGATATCATTGAAGAAAATTTTTAGATGAACTTTTACAAGAATTGTTTGCATTTTTCGTCTTAATTATAAAGTTTCAAAAATGTTTTAAGATTCTTCTATCATTAGAGGTAGGTTATAAATTGAAGACTATTAAAAAGCTTAATACGAAACAACCTACCAAAAGTTTAAAATAATTAAAAATAATTTGTGTCTAAATGGTTTTTTTCTTAGAGTATGGTTTCCTAAATGCTATTAAAAAGGCCACGTGTTTCAAGCTGGGGAAAGTTTCAAAAAAAAAAATTGCATTTTTTTCTAGTTCTAAACAATTTCCCCCTCCCCAATAATTTTTTTTTTTTTTTGAAAATCAGAAAGCCTGAATCAAACAATTTCAAGCATAAAAATTGAGACCTTGAAGGAAAACAACATCCCTGGGGGTTCAAAATGCGAAAAAGAAAAAAAAAAGCAGCAATAAGGAAAATAGGGTTCAGATTAAGCCAAAATTGACATGACTGGCTCAAAACCAGCAACAAAAGTTAAAACGAGCTGTCATCAGCTGGTCATAAACCCCACCACTTACAACGAGCTGTCATCAGCTGGTCATAAACCCCACCACTTACAACGAGCTGTCATCAGCTGGTCATAAACCCCACCACTTACAACGAGCTGTCATCAGCTGGTCATAAACCCCACCACTTACAAGATAAGTACAAAGAGTGGGGAGAAAAGAAAAACAAAACAAACAAACAAAACAAGCTATATATAGAAATATCAAAGTGATCATCGAAATTCTTTACCCACTGTTCATTGCTGTGAATAAGAACAGATCTTCTGCCGGCCATTATTATATCCAGTTGGATTCCAATTATATTCATTGGAAATATTGGTGTATTCTTTAGAAAACTCGCCGGGGGTAAAAAGGTCTTTGGAAATCGATGGGTAAAAGTTCACAATATCAAATTGGATAAAAGAACAGTTCATCTTATTGTTAATCCCTTTGAACTAATTTATGACATCTGTGGTACTAGTCCATTATAAAAGGCCAAGGTGCTGTTTAATCTTAACTTTTTATCAAGGATAGCCTTGCTGATTCTTCAAATTTCTGGCATGGTAGGGTTGATAATCTTCGTAGGAAGTTTGGTTTTGAAATCGAAGCGCATGATTCCTTGGTTCAAAGCTTACCTACCCTGATGCTTATTTTAAGCTTGTCACTTATAGTTGTGTTTGGTTTTGTTTTGTTTTTGTTGTTGTTTTGTTTTTTTTGAGCAGTATCAATCTTACCAACTAAATGGTGTTTTTATCCACTTGTCAGTAATTTTTAGTCAATTTTTAAAAAAAATTAATACAGTATATTCTTTATAGAAATAGAAATTAATTGTTTTATCTGATTTAGCAAAGATTTTGACCGATATATTAATGTCTTTTACAATATAATCTAAATGTCTCTGAAAATGATTCTTGTTTTTTTTATGGAAAGAGATTCCATTATTGATGCCTAATAGATTTTCGAAACCATGTAAGCGCTCAATGAGGGCGTGCAGTTTTCAAAGTTTTGAAACCGTCAAGATCCACTTAATTCGAAAAATCCTGACCCAGAAGGAAGAAAGGAACTTCGAATCTCATTCGTCTGAGGAAATCTTCAGTTTCCAAAACTAATTTTTCAAAATATTCCCGTTTGTTTGTATTGGGAATTATTTTTAGAGGAATTCCAAAATAGTGCTCCACTATAAAGGGAACAAAACATTCAGTTATAAGATAAGAAAAAAATGGAGTTTAATTCTACTGTCAACATTTAATAAAAAAAAAAAATGGTTCAGTACAGAGTAGAACTTTATATTATTTATTATAGGAGATTAAAAAAAAACATCATAGCTTTCGTGTTACGGCA